CGTGGACTAGGTCAACCTGAACGTCGTATTTAAGACAAACGGCTGCAGTACAACGCGATTCAGCCGTCCTCTTCAGGCGAGATCGGCCCACGAATCTCTTCTTTATGCACTTTCATACGAAACAAAAGTCCCTTACACAATGTTATGTAAGGAGATTCATTGAAACCCAGTTTCTCCTCTTATCTACTTATTTTTTGTTTATAAGTAGGCTTTTGAGATTATCAGTAGTATATATATATATACATAAATATATGATTGTGAAAAAATTCAACTAGCTGTCCTTTTTTCACCCTAAACTAAATAGGCTGAATACAGCCCATACATAAACGTTTCTTTTGAATGGAAGTCTTGCCTTCCAACCCGTTTTACCCATCAGCCACTCTTGTGGTACCAGATTGACGATGGGCGAACCTTTAAGCTGGGGCACTTTTGTACAAGCTGACGTTGAGGGGGTTTTGTAAATACTCGAAGCGATGGCAGTTCGACTGGGCGATGTAGTGGCGATAGCTACCGTTCCGCATGACTGCCGACCGTTCCGCAAACTGACTGACGCCTCGACGACACTCTTCCCTCAGCCTCACTGACCCTCGGCGTGGATGGCTCCAACCCACATCGCCGGACGACCAAATGTCAAGCTCGTCGTCGTCCGGTACCGGCCGGGCAGCATTCTCTTCCGCATCGCATGACCCGACTTGACTTGACCTGACCCGATCCGATCCGATCCGATTCTATTGACCTGATTTGACCACGTCATCGGCTCCCGGCTTCTGAAAGCATTCCTCAAAACGTCCGACGAGGGCGTAACGCAAACCCTCTCAAGTACCTCCGCTCCGGCAACAGGGCATGGCGACCAATCTCACATTTTCCTGTGCGTATGCGGGCGTGAGGTAGTCATGGCTACGCGTGAAGCCCAGTAAAACACGACTGCTTGTAAATCAACCATCGCGGCCGCCCGCAACAACATGGCTCTTCTGGCATCGCTTGCGTCAATCTCGTAGCACACCCTTCACTACACGACAAGCTGGTCCACCCTCACCGCGGCACCCCTTCACTCTCGCCATCGTCGTCGGTCGCGCCCCACATTTCAACAAGTCTGTACGGCTGCTTCTCGCCCACCCCACAGGCACGTGTCGACTGGAGTGTGAAACAGCTGGAATCCAACCGAAACCGGTTCAGCCTCGAAGGGGGTGTGGGGGGGGGTA